TGAAAAACTGAAACTATTTCCTCTAAGATGAGGAACAAGACAAAGTTGCCCACTCACCATTATTATTCAACATCATTTTGGAAGTTTTAGCCACAGCAATCAGAGAAGAAAAAGAAAAGCAATACAAATTGGAAAAGAAGTAAAACTGTCACTGTTTGCAGATGACATGATACTAAACATAGAGAATCCTAAAGATGCTACCAGAAAACTACTAAAGCTAATCAATGAATTTGGTAAAGTAGCAGGATACAAAATTAATGCACAGAAATCTCTTGCATTCCCCTACACTAATAATGAAAAATATGAAAGAGAAATTAAGGGAACACTCCCATTTACCATTGCAAGAAAAAGAGTAAAATACATAGGAATAAACCTACCTAAGGAGACAAAAGACCTGTATGCAGAAAACTTAAGACACTGATGAAAGAAATTAAAGATGATACGAACAGATGGAGAGATATACCATGTTCTTGGATTGGAAGAATCAACGCTGTGAAAATGACTATACTACCCAAAGCAATCTACAGATTCAACGCAATCTCTATCAAACTACCAATGGCATTTTTCACAGAATTAGAACAAAAAAATTCACAATTTGTATGGAAACACAAAAGATGCCAAATAGCCAAAGCAATCTTGAGAACGAAAAACGGAGCTGGAGGAATCAGTCTCACAGACTTCAGACTATACTACAAAGCTACAGTGGTCAAGACAGTATGGTACTGGCACAAAAACAGAAAGATAGATAAATGGAATAGGATAGAAAGCCCAGAGATAAACGAACGCACATATGGGCACCTTATTTTTGAAAAAGGAGGCAAGAATATACAATGGAGAAAAGACAGCCTCTTCAATAAGTGGTGCTGGGAAAACTGGACAGCTACATGTAAAAGAATGAATTTAGAACACTCCCTAACACCATACACAAAAATAAACTCAAAATGGATTAAAGACCTAGATGTAAGGCCAGACACTATAAAACTCTTAGATGAAAACATAGGCAGAACCTTCTATGACATAAATCACAGCAAGATCCTTTATGACCCACCTCTTAGAGAAATGGAAATAGAAACAAAAATAAACAAATGGGACCTAGTGAAACTTCAAAGCTTTTGCACAGCAAAGGAAACCATAAACAAGGCAAAAAGACAGCCATCAGAATGGGAGAAAATATTTGCAAATGAAACAACTGACAAAGGATTAATCTCCAAATTATACAAGCAGCTCATGCAGCTCAATATCAAAAAGACAAACAACCCAATCCAGAAATGGGCAGAAGACCTAAATAGACATTTCTCCAAAGAAGATATATAATTTGCCAATAAACACATGAAATGATGCTGTATATCACTAATCATTAGAGAAATGCAAATCAAAACTACAATGAGGTATCACCTCACACCGGTTAGAATGGGCATCATCAGAAAATCTACAAACAATTAATGCTGGAGAGGGTGTGGAGATAAGATAACCCTCTCACACTGTTGGTGGGAATGTAAATTGATATAGCCACTATGGAGAACTGTATGGAGGTTCCTTAAAAAACTAAAAATTGAACTATCATATGACCCAGCAATCCCACTACTGGGCATATACCCTGAGAAAACCATACTTCCAAAAGAGTCATGGGGCTTCCCTGGTGGTGCAGTGGTTGAGAGTCCGTCTGCCGATGCAGGGGACACGGGTTTGTGCCCCGGTCCGGGAAGATCCCACATGCCGCAGAGCAGCTGGGCCCGTGAGCCATGGCCACTGAGCCTGCGCATCCGGAGCCTGTGCTCCGCAACGGGAGAGGCCACAACAGTGAGAGGCCCACGTACCGCAAAAAAAAAAAAAAAAAAAAGAGTCATATACCACAATGTTCATTGCAGCTCTATTTACAATAGCCAGGACGTGGAAGCAACCTAAGTGTCCCTTGACAAATGAATGGATAAAGAAGATGTGGCACATATATACAATGGAATATTACTCAGCCATAAAAAGAAACGAAATTGATTTATTTATGGTGAGGTGGATGGACCTAGGTTCTGTCATACAGAGTGAAGTAAGTCAGAAAGAGAAAAACAAATACCGTATGCTAACACATGTATATGGAATCTAAAAGAAAATGTATTCTCATCTGGTTTTTCCTCCCAAACTCAAAATGTATCACAATGCTTCTTTCCTTCAGAATTATTTCTCTCTAATAAATTCCTTCACAACTGTTTTCTCAGATGTGTAGATTCTGGATTTTTTTGTTCTAAAGATATTGCCGTTTAAACATTTTTTCCTGAAGTTTATTTAAAAAAATTAAAGGTCTATAGAAGTGTTGAAAGAGACTAAGTGAACACCCAAATACCCTTCACCTTGATTCACCAGTTGTTAATATTTTGCCTTCTTTCTTTTTCTTTTTTTTCCTGAAATTTTGAAAGTAAGTTGTAAACATCATGACTGTCATCTCTAAATTCTTCAAGCATGTATGCATCTCCCAAAAACAAGGGCACTCCTAGATAGTATAATATTATTATCCTCACTCAGAATATTTTACTCAAGAATTTAACATTAATATAATGTTATCATGTTAATGTCCATATTCAAATTTCTCCAGCTGTTCCAATAATGTCCATTTTAGCTGTTCCCTCCCCAATTTATTTAGTAATTGTTTCTCTTTAGTTGTCTTTAGCCTAGAATAATTCCTCTGCTTTTTAAATTTGTTTGTTTTGGTCTTTCATGACATTAAAATATTTGAAGTGTTCAGGTTAGTTATTTTATAGAAGGTAGAATATTCTACAATATAAAATTTCTCGGAAATTTTCCAATGATTAGGTACAGGTTACGTATTTTTGATGAGAATTCTAATCATTAAGTCTTTTTCATTGTGGCACAGCAAGAAGTGCATGATGTCAGTTTGTCCCGTTATTGCTGTGTCATTTGCTTCCTTGTTTAAGTAGTGTCTTGTAGATTTCTATACTGTAAAGTCTCAATTTTTCCCTTTGTAAATAATAGGCAATCCATGCAGTGAAACTTTGGGACTGTGTGAATATTCTGTTCCCCAACTTTTACTCAGTGGTTTTGGTATTCACTGATGGTCCTAACTGGTATATATGATTACATTGGTGGGTGAATGATGATCTCTAATCTATCATTCTTTCTATATTTAGTCACTATATTACTTTGGAAAGAAGTGTACTCTCCAGTGTAGCTGGAGGGAGTCCTTTCATGTTGTTTTTTCATGTCCCTATCAGTCTATAAGCATTTCCTTATTTAAGGCACAGCAAGAGGGACCAGGTACATCTTTCACTTTTTCTCCCCCATACTTAGAATCAGCTATTTGTCCAAAGAGCCAGAATTATTTTTGATTCTTTTCTTTACCTTTCACACTTAATGAGTCTCTTGCCCTTCGTTTAAAATTTTTACATTGAGTGCTTACTATGTGCCAAGCAACATGTGAGGAGGTAAATACAAAACTATGAACAAGACATATTAACTCCCCTCTCCCTTGGAATTTACATTCTCAGGGGGAAGACAGACATTGTACAAATATATACAGAAATAAATATATAATTACAAATTGTGGTAAGTGCCTTGAAGGAAAATTACATGCCATGTAATTATGTCTGTCATGTAAAGTAAAATGGCTCTTATACCTGTCTTTTCATTTGTAAAGACACTTGAACAGACAGTTATTTGGTTCCATGTGAGTAAGTTGTGGTAGCTGCATAACTATTGGTTTGGCCAAAAAGTTCATCTGGGTTTTTCTATAAGATGGCATGGAAAAACCAGAATGAACTTTTTGGCCAACCCGATAGTTTCTTTGCCTAAAACCTCACTCCTTCCAATTGTCATCATATTTTTTTTTTTGTGTGTGTGTGTCCTCTATCAACTTGTTTATAGCAGTTTTGCTGTCATAGATAATATATATTATATATTTCTGTGCATATAATAAAAATGCACAGAATATAGTAATATACAGAAGACCTATTTGAAAATAGCCTATTTGAAAATAGCCTGTTCTCGCTGTAGATAATTTATGTTTGAAATTGGAGAAAAATTTAAAACTAACTTTACTTTTATATAAATGGATTCTTTTGAAAGCTTTTTGCATTTCTGCCCATTAAACTTTTCAGAAGGCTTAATAAAATTTTGAATTATCCAGAAAATCTCAACTAAAATATCATGAGGATGGACAGAGTTCTGTTTTAATGTAAGCTTTTTATTCAGTGTGGGAATTCAAAGACTAAGTAGGACCATGGTGGAATGTTATGGTAGGACCGTAAAGGATATATAATTAGCAAACAGATTTGTTCATCAAATTCTGAGACCTTAGAAATAGAGAAGTTCTTGAAGGTGTTAGAACTTTAAGCACATTAATAGTGAAATATTTATTTCAAGAGGCCTTATAATCTGAAAAATTCATAAGGATCTAGATGGTAGTGAATGAAATTTTATAACTTTGTTTAATACCGGAGAGACCTGTGATATGTCATGAGTTTCAAAGAGAACTTGGTTCTACACCCACAAATTATATCTTCAGATGAAGGGACAGTCCTTGGGCATGTTTTACATTAGAAGAACTTGTTGTAGACCATAGAAGTATAAACATATTGTGGACGCTAAGCACCACTGTTTTATGGATAAGTTGGCCCTGGCTGCCAGGCCTTCTGCTGCATTCTGTTAGTTATATCAAGTCACTGGACAGCCCTGGGAGGGGGCTACACTGGGCATAAACTCCAGGAAGTAGAGTTCACAGGAGGGCATCTCTGGAAAACAGCTATCACCTTGGATTAAAAGACAGGTTCAAGAAAGGAGGAATCAACCTGTTTTCTCAAACTCACTTTGTGAGAATCAGATAAAAAGAGAATGTTTCTCTGGTGTAGTTGGGAAGGTCCGTTTACCAGCTGGCCCACTGAGCTATGAGCTAGATTTACAGTGGGTAATAATATTCTTTTGTTCCCTCATGAGTTCACTGGAGTATTTTTTGTAGTTGTTTTGTTTATTAATTTTATTTATTTATTTATTTTCAGGAAAGTCAGAAAAACCTCAGTAACCTGGGTATTGGTCAATCTGTGCACATCAATGTTGATTTTCAACCTCCTGTTTGTGTTTGGAATCAAAAACTCCGATAAGAACTTAAAGACACTATAGTGACACTGATAATACTGACTTGAGCAATAATGAAATGTCCAGACAAGACACCGTTGTCATCTCGAATCCCACATGCACTGCGATTGCTATCTTGCTGCACTATTTTGTGTTAGTGACATTTACCTGGATGGGACTCAGTGCTGCCCAGCTCTATTTCCTTCTTATTAGGACCATGAAGCCTCTTCCTCAGCATTTCATTCTTTTCATCTCTTTAATTGGATGAGGTAAGTGTTTGCTTCTTCACTTACTCAGGAATTTAATTTTGTTGAAATCACTTAATTTAAACAAACACCTATTGAAGACCTAATAGTACAAGGCCCTGTGGTAGGGGAGATGGAAAATCCAGCAATCACTAAGAGTGCCTTCTGTCTAGTGAAGGAGTGTCTTCTCCTGTGAAGAAGGCAGATGTGATCAAGGCAGCTATACTAGATACATCATGAGCTAACTTCAAGATGTTCATTTCCTTTAACATCTCTATTTATTTGACTTGAGATTTAGACCACATATAAACTTCCTAGCTACTTTATTTTTTTTGTAAATTAACTTTATTTCTTTTTTTTGAATTTTATTTTATTTTTTAAAATACAGCAGCTTCTTATTAGTTATCTATTTTATGCATATTAGTGTATATATGTCAATCCCAATTTCCCAATTCATCCCACCACCACCCTGACCCTGCTTTTCCTATCTACTTTAAAAGAAATGTTTCAAGACAATCAGAGTGACTCTTTTAAGAAAAATAATTTGAAAAATTTAATGAGTTCCAGGAAAGGAGAGTTGTTTTCGTGTTATCTAAATTTAAGTTTATTCAAGTGAAAGAGGAATTAGACCATTTAAGAGTGGAAATTGTGGTAAGAGTTACAAAGAAATCAGAAATATTATAGGATTGATATGTATAGCCAACATTGATAGGGAAAGGAAAACAGAAAAACTATGTCTACTGTTGACCTACATCTGTAGGATCATTTAGTACACTGTCTATAGTGGAAAGAACAATACATCCTGAAAAAGGTCAGGTGTATAATTCATTCATGTTCTTTTATAATTAGTCCCAGTCTTGGGTAAATTATTAATTCTATGACTCTTTATCACATAGGAGTCCCGGCTATAGTGGTAGCTGTGACAGTGGGAATTATTTATTCTCAGAATGGGAATAATTCACAGTGGGAGTTAGACTACTGGCGAGAGGAAATGTAAGTTTATATTTTTTAAATGTCCATTTCTTTGATATGAGTGTAACTATTCAATGACATTGAGTCCAAGTGTCACTGTAATATGCATATCACTTTATAATTGTCATATTATAACTGTGTATTTCAAATTCTCAAAGAACACATTATATTTTAAATATGGTGGCATGAAAATTTCCTATGATAAATCCTTTCGTAAAGCAAGTAATTGTCTTCTAAATTTATAAATGTGAACTTTTTAATATTAAATTTGTCTTCTTTGATTAAGTCTGAAAATCACAGGACACAAGAAGTGTGATCATTAGTGACTGCTTATCTTAGTTTTCTCATCTAGAAAATGAGAATAACCATAATAGTAATACCTGCTCTGGGGTTACTATGAAGGGTCAAGCAAGTGTGAAAACATTTTCACACTTGAAAATGTTTGAAGAGCAGTATCCATGAAAGTGCTTGAAGAGCACTATCCATGCTTATGAACCAATTCTATGTTGATATGATTATAATGAGTATTTCATGATGATTTATCACACATAAATTCTCCCTGTGACTCCAGCATGAATAATTAACTGTCAATAATGGAAGTACCTGAGTGCATGGTATTTGCCTTCCATGTGGGGAGAGTAAGAAAGTGGGGCTGAACTCTATGTGTAGTTCTGCTACCAAATGGCAACTGCTCTTTAATTTATCTTCCCTTCTTATTTTATAAATTCAACCATTCTGATCCCTGGATTCCACCTTAAGTCCCAAACCAACTCTAATCAAAACAAAACTCTTGGAAATGTGCAAGTATACCCAAGGGAAGGCTGTGGTGTCAGAGTGCTTACCTATTTCCAGGGCTGACCATGACCAAGTGTAGAATAGGGAGCTAACTGCCTGGCTTGATTTTAGGAGCCATACACTCTAGGCACTATTTTCTCTGTTTAATTGGGATTAAATATCTTTTAATGAGTTAAAAAATTTTAATTCCACAATTAGATATCAGGAGTGAAATGCAAATATCTCATGGGAGAGGTAATTCACCTCAAATTGCATTATTATTAATTTCCTATCCTAACCCAGCCACAAGGCTAGACCTACTCCTACAGAAGTGTTCAGTAGAAAGAAGCCTGCTGTCTTAAATTTATTCACACCAAGATGTAAATAATTGAGAGCAGATTCTTTCCTGAGTACAGTATTAGATGTTAAGGAAGACACTAGGCAACTGATAATAAGAGTTGGGAAGAGGGGAAAGGATGTGTAACATGAATATCAGCTTCATCTTGGACCTTTATCTCCCACTTTCCACCCTATACACACACATCAAGGCTCACATTTCTTCAGGATATATTTAGAAAGAGGAGGGACTTTTTTGGGTTTTCTTGAGTTATCTTCCCAGAAGTTGCTCCTCAATATATCATACTCCCTGTCCCCCCACCATGGCTCCCAGTTCTGCCAGTCATACCCGAAACCCCTAACCCAGTTCCCTTGATGTACTGCTATTTCTGCCAGGACCCAATTAAGGGGCGACTGCAGGGCAGGCCACACTCCTATTTAATGCTCTATCCCCCAAATCTCTGTCCCACCATATAGGCTGTTTCAGACTTCCCTGAAGGGTTGAGGTAACCATTGGGAAATTATAATGCATGAGGAAGAATTTTCTGGAAGCATATGCTATATCTTCTACAGCTGTCTTTTCCCATGTTTCATGACAAAATCACCAAGGAGTTAAACGCTTCATCTGAGGTTCATCTGTGATGCTCTCCAGACCTCAGGTTCATAGATGTTTGTCAGATGCAACCTTGACCTTGTGACTCTCCAATCTCAATTCTAGATCCCACTCCTACAAGGGTTAGTCTGCCTGGAGGATCCATCTGTCTCCTCAGCAGTCTGTTTTTCAAAATCTGGGTGATTAGATTCAGAACAGCTAAGGGAGAGGCTCATGAGAACAAATCCAGTGTGACTATCTCTCCAAGTAGTACAAAGGATGGAGGAGGTGAGGAGGTATCCCTTCCTAGTGCACACCTCCTCATGGCCACAGGCATCCAAGCCTGTTTCCCATCCAGGTCTCCCCATCTGTGTGAGGTAACTGAGGAACCTTACAGACATTTGTATGCACACACACACAGATCTATAGTACAAATAGTAATACTTAGAAATTGTGTTGTCTAAAGTTTAAATAACTCATGACTCATACAGATAAAGATAAATATTTGTCTAAATTGTTTCATAATTTGCAAGTCTGTCTTTATCCGATAGAGTTGGATATTCATTTTCTTTCTCTATCCTGTCCTCCCCTTTTAAACTGTGTTTCTCTAGGCTGCCTGGGTCAGAACTATGTCCATCTTTTTAATTTAAAACTTTAATGACCACTTGCTTAGTCACCAAAGAAGTGTCTAGAGATGTGAAAGTACTTCTCAGCAGGATTTTATTAAATTCTTAGCCAAGTGCCCTCCTATTTCTTCTGTGTCAGGGGTTGTGAGATTGAAGATGGCAGGAAGGTTGTCCTTTGGTTACAGATGAAAGGACATGGAGGCCCAAAATCCTGAAGATAAATTTTATTCTTTCTCACCATTTTACTTAAGGCTGGACCTAATCTATCATTAATGGATTGGAGGCACTCTTTTCATTTTTTTTAACATTTTATTTTATATCGGAATATAGCCGATTAACAATGTTGTGATAGTTTCAGGTGCACAACAAAGCAACTCAGCCATACATATACATGTATCCATTCTCCCCCAAACTCCCCTCCCATCCAGGCTGACACATAACATTGAGCAGAGTTCCCTGTGCTATACAGTAGGTCCTTGTTGTTTATCCTTTTTAAATATAGTAGTCTGTACATGTCAATCCCAAACTCCCTACTATCCCTTCCCTCCACCCTCCCCACCCTGGTAACCATAAGTTCCTTCTCTAAGTCTGTGAGTCCATTTCTGTTTTGTAAATACATTCATTTGTATTATTTCTTTTTAGATTCTGCATGTAAGCGATATCATACAATATTTCTCTTTCTCTGTCTGACTTACTTCACTCAGTATGACAATCTCTATGTCCATCCATGTTGCTGCAAATGGCATTATTCCATTCTTTTTTATGGCTGAGTAATATTCCATTGTATATATGTACCAAATCTTCTTTATCCATTCCTCTGTCCATGGACATTTAGGTTGCTTCTCTGTCTTGGCTATTATAAACAGTGCTACAATGAACATTGGGGTGCATGTATCATTTCAGACCATGTTTTTCTCTGGATATATGCCCAGGAGTAGGATAGCAGGGTCATATGATAACTCTATTTTTAGTTTTTTAAGGCCGCTGCATACCGCTCTCCATAGTGGCCATACCAATTTATAATCCCACTAACAGTTAGGAGGGTTCCTTTCTTTCCACACCCTCTCCAGGATTTACTGTTTGTGAATTTTTAAACGATAGCCATTTTGACTGGTGTGAGGTGATATCTCATTGTAGTTTTTACTTGCATTTCTCTAATCATTAGCAATGTTGAACATCTTTTCATGCGCCTCTTGGCCATCCATATGTCTTCCTTGGAAAAATGTCTATTTAGGTCTTCTGCCCATTTTTTGATTGGGTTGTTTGTTTTCATGATACTAAGCCACATGAGCTTTTTGTAAATTTTGGAGACTAATCCCTTGTCAGTCACATGATTTGCAAATATTTTCTCCCAATTTGTGGGCTGTCTTTTTGTTTTGTTTATGGTTTCCTTTGCTATGCAAAAGCTTTTGAGTTTAATTAGGTCCCATTTGTTTATTTTTGTTTTTATTTCCATTACTCTGGGAGATGGATCAGAAAAAATATTGCTGCAATTTATGTTAGGGAGTGTTCTGCCTACGCTTTCCTTTAGGAGTTTAATAGTGTCCGGTCTCACATTTAGGTCGTTAATCCATTTTGAGCTTATTTTTGTGTATTGTGTTAAAGAATGATCTAATTTCATTTTTTTACATGTAGCTATCCAGTTTTCCTAGCACCATTTGTTGAAGAGACTGTCTTTCCACCATTGTAAATTCTTGCCTCCTTTGTCGTATATTAATTGACCATAGGTGCATGGGCTTATTTCTGGGCTTTCTATCCTGTTCCATTGATCTATAGTTTTTGTGCCAGTACCATACTGTTTTGATGACTATAGCTTTGTAGTATAGTCTGAAGTCAGGGAGCCTGATTCCTCCAGCTCCATTTTTCATTCTCACGATTGCTTTGGCTATTCAGGGTCTTTTGTGTCTCCATAAAAATTTTAAGATTTTTTGTTCTATTTCTGTGATAAATGCCATTAGTAATTTGAAAGGATTGCATTGAATCTGTAGTTTGCATTGGGTAGTATAGTGATTTTGACAATATTTATTCTTCCAATCCAAGAACATGGTTTATCCTTCCATCTGTTTGTGTCTTCAATTTCTTTCATCAGTGTCTTATAATTTTCAGAGTACAGCTCTTTTGTCTCCTTAGGTATGTTTATTCCCAGATATTTTATTCTTTTTGATGCAATGGTAAGTGGGGTTGTTTCTTGAATTTCTCTTTCTGATCTTTCATTGTTAGTGTATATAAATGTAACAGACTTCTGTGTATTAATTTTGTAGCCTGCAACTTTACCAGATTCACTGATGAGCTCTAGCAGTTTCCTGATAGTGTCTTTAGGATTTTCTATGTATAGCTTCATGTCATCTATAAATAGTGACATTTTAACTTCTTCTTTTCCAATTTGGATTCTTTTATTTCTATTTCTTTCCTGGTTGCCATAGCTAGGACTTGCAAAACTATGCTGAATAAAAGTGGTGAGAGTGGGCATCCTTGTCTTGCTCCTGATCTTAGAGGAAATGCTTCCAGCTTTTCATCATTGATATGATGCTAGCTGTAGGTTTGTCGTATATGGCCTTTATTATGTTGAAGTAGGTTCCCTGTATGCCCACTTTCTGGAGAGTTTTTATCATAAATGGGTGTTGAATTTTGTCAAAAGATTTTTCTGCATCTATTGAGATCATCATTTGGATTTTATTCTTCAGTTTGTTGAT